GTTTATTCTGTTTGCGTAACGCTGACATTTATTTATATCAAAAGGCAGGTGTTTTGATAGTTATCATTAGCCCTGGAGCTGACTTCGGGGCTTCACAGAGAGGAGAAGGGACATCAAAGTGACAAAAAGTCGAGAGGGGGAACAGAAGAGTGATACACAGGTGTAAAAGAGACAGACAGACACAAAGGCATAAAAAGGTAAAATGAGTACTGTGAAAGGGGTCGAATATGACAAATAGTCGGGCCATAGAAGTTTGAAGTCAACTGCCGATCAATAGACTTTTTAGCCGCATAAGTATACGCTGACATAGTGCCTATTCAATTGGCTTAAGCCACAACTGCTCCCTAACAAGATCAGCGGCGCTAGAGGATTCGGGATAAGCAGCATTTTCCAGAATTTTCTAATGTGAATGTGTTACCTTAGTGCAGCCGTGTTATCCCCGGTGCCACCCACAGGAATGATGAATATGAAGAAAGGGATGTAAGGATACAACGAATATTTCCACATTTAATCTCTACTCGAGGGAAGGCATCTAATAGTTTTTACGTTAACAAAGGTTAGAAATTAGTGATAGTTTTTCATCTATCTTTATTTATCTTTCTCTATCTTTGATTTGTTGTAATTGGGCATAGGGTAGTATGTGATTAGATATTAATTGAATTATAAACGACTAGATTTCATATAATAATGTTTAAAGATCACAAATTTCGATTTTTATTTTGCTTGAGTGGCAGCTCACAAGTTATTGAAAGATAATATGTGCTTCCACCAACTTTGGCGAAAAGTGGAATTTTCAAGAACACCACATAGGGACAAGCCATCATCATCATCATCATCACCATCATCTCGTGACTATTCACTTGAAGCACATATCATGAAGACGAACTTTATGATTGCTTCCAGTTATCAAAGTGCGGAATTCTCACTTGGAAAAGGTGGAATTATGACTGATATATCGTTTGATGAAGAAGCACAAGGAAGCTATGTTACGTAATGAAATATACACTTCGAGTTGGAATACATTACCTTCGCCAATTAACTTCTTTTAGATTTTAAGGGTAAGAGTTAGTGTTATGTAGGCACTGTCAATACGTCCTAAGTTAAATGTGGCGGAATAATTTGTGAAGCAGTACCTTTGATGTCACTTTTAATATTCTCGTCTGTGAAGTTCAAGGTCGTGGTTTCAAGGCCATTGTTTTGAACACAAATGAGTTGATTGCTCAATTTCTCTGGTCATGTGTTAGAAAGCAGGCTTCTTATCATGAATCCTGATAATCTTTACCCATCACCCTATAGATATGATAAGGAAAGAATCCTTGATGTGCTTCGGAGCTGTTTACTTACATGTGAAAATAAATCTGGCGCCGGTATTTATAGATTTTTCTTCTTTTTATTTCTGATAGCTAATTTTAGCCCTAGCTAATTATTATTGACAAAAATTTCTCACCTTACCGTTTGTAATAGAGTTTTCTACCATCAGTTGCAATAAAAGTAAATTTTTGGTGATGGGTACTGCACATTAGCCAAGTTCATACAAATCTTTCCAAAGTAACTTCCTAATTCTCTTCTTCGCTCTTCTCTATCGATATTCTATGACTGTTGTACAGTGAATAACGTGATAGACCTTTGCTTAGTCCTTAATTCCTGCCACCTCTCCGCTTAAATAAAATGTATACCACCTATAGGAATCTCAGAAACTAATAGACCAATTAAAATTGGCATTATTTCTGCTTTTAAAACAAATGTGAGGCTTAAAAATGAATTCCCCAGTCAAGTACAACAGAGGGGTGAGACGATATTTCCTTGAACTTCTTCAGCAAAAGTTTAGGACCTCAACTGTAGGGAACAAAACTTTAGCGTGGCAAGTGCAATGGCCTCTCGACCAATCAGTGATTAAAGCCAAGACGACCAATCAACGGTCAAATCTAGTATGTGGTTATCTGATCAATCAATGACCAAAGTCATCACGTGGTTATCACACCAAAAACTGCACATAAGTTCCACATTACTGTACCATATAGCACTCAAGTCTGTAGAGCACCAATTCGCCATACCCAATAAGCGTGTTCCACTTCATACACCTATTTCCTCATTAGCTTTGCGGTAGCCTAGCAAGTTCTAAGAGTCATTCCATATATAGGTGGATCTACCACAGAGATTTCTGAATATAGTCAAGAAGCGAGTAAAATATGTTTCAAGCATGGTTTGCTAAATGCTTTTTTCCCATATATTCACGGGAATAGGATATTCTGATGAGAATATAATTATTAAACCCTAATTCATGAAATACAATAGGCGCAACACTGACCATGCAAGGATTATTGATTGTCCATTGGCTGAGAGGTCTCCACACTCATGCTCCACATGCTTCCTAGTGTGATTAGCAGCACTCCGCGCGTTCCAGAATGTTCGAGTGCAAGAAATCGATTATTTTAATTATGATAAGACAGTATACTTCGTAAAGCTCTATTTAGACTAGTTAAATTTCTATCGGCTTGACCTCCTTAAAATTACAATATTTGAGTTTCGATTTTGAAATTAAAATATTATTTATTTATATCAAATGTCAGATTTGAGTAGCTTGTAAAGGGGCTCGCTCATTATGACTCATTTTACAGATTCGATCCCATAATTATGGGATGATATTTTCAACTTTGTAATTTTAAGATTATTTAAACTAACTAACCTTTGCAAATAAATGAATTGAAAGTAACTAAAAGGCTCATCAACTAGCGGCGATATCTCTGTTACGAATCCACTTACTACTTAAAGCATGAAGTAGTGAATCAGCCACTAAGTATATATTTTCAAATCGAATTCAAGAATCAAAAGGCCTAAGACTCCTTTATTGATTTCATTTCACAATCAGTACTTTTGGTCCTCACGCCTTGACATTTTTGGGGTGTACTGTTATCCCATTTCAGTTGCAATCTTTCCCATTTTTAGAATGACAACAAAATAACTTCTGTCAAGAAATAAAAGAAATTGATGGCGTCTCATTCTTTTTTGATTTCAAGAATACAGCCAGCAAATGTTTTATCCATCTAGGGGAGATTTTGGAAATTTTGAGAAGGAGAATATCTTTGCCAGGTTACCTTAGTTTAATATATGCTTCTTGATTTAAGTTAACGAAATGACGGTTTATTCCTAAAGTGTTTCACAAAAGCGTTTGAAATTCGAGGTATTATTAGTCACTCTACTAAAAGTACATCTTGACTTTTTTTCACCGTAAATTCTTGCAATACTTTTAAAAATCTACTTCAATTATGATCTTAAACTGGCCTCACATAATGAAATTTGGTAAGAAATGTTTAAAAATGCTAGTCAGTCTTGAGTTACTAAGCAAATATTGGCTTTGTTTGTCTCATTTCTGAGCGCAGTGCCTATGGGGAGATCAAGTAAAAGGCCATTCCAGAGATTTTTGTATTATTATTCCGATTTCAGGGTTACTGTTGTCATTTGAGTAGGTATGTTTTTTTTGGGAAAGTTGTGGAGCATTACCGGGAAGAAGAGTTGAATGGGTTACTTTCAAACACTAGAAGATTTAGGTGCTTTGTCAATTTGTTCCCAAATCGTTGCCATCAATTCTCACCATTTACTGTATATAAATTAAAATGGAGATAATTAAAGTGGAAATCTACTATTTCCATTTAACTTTTTCAATTGTGCAATTCATTATGAAATGTGACAATTTGATCAAAATTTTGGAGATTTTGAATTTGACGACAGCATACTGGAACATCAAATATCGTAAACCTTTAAATGGTGAGTAATTTTCGATTTAATTAAAGTAACTTAAAATAAGTATAGCAAAATAAATCAAACGTCTTTAATGGGACACTAGTGTGCACATTCGCTCTAAGTCTAAGAAAAGTTTTACCTGAACTTTCATGTGTATTGACAGTTGAAAAATGTAACAACCCTACCGACTTAAATGGATGATAACTGAACTGAATACTGTTAATGCGAGGCTGTAAATATAGGAGTTAAACAATAATTATACCTTTAATGAGTGTCGAAATCAAATCATCGACAAACCAGAACGCAAAGACTAAACATTTTCCTGTTTGTTCTTATTCACAAAAATAATTTGTTACGGCCACCTTTGATGCTTCTTATTGAATGTATTTTCCTGCGTGTCTTGAGAATAATCCTGACAATTTCGTTAATTCTTGAAAAAAAACGATACCTCTGAAATTTTGGAATAATAAGTTAAATTAGTCATACGCACTACGCCCACGCAGATCACAAGGCCACTAGTACTTCTCTCAGCGTGTCATAGTAATACCATAAGCGTATTTAAATTCGTTTTTTTTGTCCATCATAGTTCAATATGTAGGGGTGTGGGATAGACTTACCTCCTCGTGGTGCACCCTGGGCAACGCGTAGTCATACGGTAAAAAATCTATTAACTGGCAGTTGACCTCTCACTTCAAACTACCATCACCCCATTGTATGTCATCTTCGACCACTACCACAGTACTCATCTTACCCTTTCTGAGCCTTTGTGTCTGTTTGTTTCTTTTAAATCTGTGAATCACTCTTCTATTACCCCTCCCGAATTCTTCTCACTTTGATATTCCTCCTCCCCTCTGTGAAGTCTGAAGTCAACTAAAGGGCTAATAATAACTATCAAAACGCCTACCATTTGAGATAAATAAATAAATAAAGCCTTTAATTTGATATAAATAGATAAGTTTGTCTCCGCTGTCAACTTAACTAGAAACCATGGATACTGGAATTAGAAGGAGGTACAGACATTTGTTTATGAAGTCCGGCAACCAACCCAATCGTTTTATATTGGGACAACTTGGTCACAAAATAAAGGGAAATTCGAATGTAAGGAGCAAAATATCAGAAAATTCATAACCAATTCCTCCTAAAATACAATCTGTTCAATAAGCATAATATTTTTAACCTCATATTTCGCTAACCAAACGGAATGTAATTGCAAGTGTTGAGTCACCTTTTTATTGAACAAAATAAATAATTTAATCCTTTCACATTCTTTTTTTACTAGCAGCCACATTGCATCCCCAACAAATCATGCTATCTAATTCAAATAAACCACGGCGTCCGTGATTAATAAAACAACAATGTACGCGGCTACTAATTTTCTGGATTTCGTCCCCGTAAATACCATAGAAACTCCATATCAAGTCCAATATGCATTCATGTTCGTCATAATATCTTCCACCTTCATATTTATAAAGAGCCACGATTAAGAATTGGTCTGCTCTCATTTTATTGATTATTTCTTCAATAACTCTTTTTAACGGAAGTTCTGGGGGAGCGAAATATAGTATAAAATCCGCGGTTTCCATAGCCACCGTATTTACAAATAATGAATCGCATATCTCGCGAACGAAGTGGCTATTCCAATCGGAAAACAATAGATGTAACATAGGATCAAAATATAGATAGCGCATGGAAATACTAAACATTGGCTTATCGAGGAATCCCATTCGCCAAAGAGAGTTGAAAAGTAACAGCGATCTTTCAATCTCTCGGAATACCGATATCTTAGGCATGATAACGTGAATATTTATGCAGGTGTCCTGAGGCTCTTGAATAGGATGGACACTACCTGTTGGCAAGTTTGTTGCTTCGACAGCTTGATCGGTGTTTTCTTCCTCTCGAGTTGGGGTATTCCCAGAAGAAGGAAAGTTGGCACCGGGTTGCCAATGTATAGGAGTGCTTGTGAGATTTGGTCTTTCCTCCCTTTCATTTGATTCCTATTGGGTAACCACAACAAAAAAGAAAATGTATCAGACAAAGTGGGCAATCGAGGAATTGGATTGAGCACTAACTCACCATGATCAACCTGAGAGCAGATCAAAAATTGACTATCTTTAATGACGAATATAAAATTTGTTAAAACGATTACAAAACGAGTAAATATTAGATTAGAAATTCAATTTAATAGTGCTAAATGCAAATGGTGTCAATAATTTTCATTTTATTTAAACATTCATCACGTTCAAATATGGCATTGTTTAAAAATTAGTGTAAATATTTTTTGTTAAACCATAAACCAATCTCATTTGGAAGAAAGAGTCAAAAGATTTTTTCCTCAGTTCAAACTGACGAATATTTGTGGCATTTGCAAATAGTCTGCTCTTTCCTGCCTTTATATAACTCTTAAAAATTTATTCATTTCCCATTTGAGTGTCAAAATTAAGGATATAAATTGTCGTAGTCTTTCAAGAGTGATGATAATTTTGCAAACGACACGTTATATTGTGCGTTGATATCTCCCAAGTTTGTTGAAGTTCCAAAGTTAGAATTTATTCCTCAATTTAAAAAATACACATTTCAGTTGTCCCCAGTCTCACAAGAAGTATTTTTCACTTTGCATTGTTCTCAAAATTGATTAAAATAAAAATTTCCGCATTTGGTCACGCCAGCTCCATTTATTTTCGACAATTTTTCAGCCATATTGTAAAAAATGAGGAGTTTTCACTAGAGTTCACTCCAGATGCCTTGAATGCATCACCCGCCTCTTCATGACTCCTTTCTTGGTCTCTGGTCTCTCATTTCTTCACTTGCTCCAAGACTTTTCTCATTTATCATATTTGTGGAACGCGTCATCGCCTATGCGTGATCGCATGCGCACAACCAATAACCAATCAGTAGCCTTCGTTTGTTTAATCGGATCCGTCATGTTGACTATGACTAACTTTACGGCGTGTATACCTTTTACCAAAGAATACTTCCTAAATAAATGTGTTCCGTGCTATATGTCTGTTTCCTCTATAGCTGGGCTGTTGCTTAGCTAGTTCTGGGAGTTTAGCTAGATGCAGGAGTTTCTGGCATAAGTAGTTCTGAGTCGGTCAAGGCTTTAAAAGTGTAGCAATCCGCTACATCTGCAACTCAGTTCTGTGCTCCAATCTAATGACAATCAAAATGAAATTATATCTGGTTCAAATTGTGGTGCGATTTTGTTGAAAAATTATCTCTACTCATTTGATTCGCTAAATTCAAACACGATACGCAAAAATTTGCCTTTTGGATATCATTGTACTTGATTAGATATGGATTAGATTTTTACTCAAGTTAACTAAAATGCCAAAGAACGGAAAATGTGACACAGTAGTCAATAATATTTTGATATTTGAATCAAAATTCAAATTTGGATTATTGATTAACGTTAATTAGCAAACTGAATTGTAGATTGGATTGGTAGGTTGATCATTGTAAATAAAAAAAGAATTGATAGAAATTTTATGGAATCCCCGAAACTAGACAGAAAAAGGAGTACTGAAAAAAGGAAGATAAATCTAAACTATCTCCTTTATTTGAATAGCATTAATATTTTCATGTTAAATTTATTTTCGCATACATTATTTATTTCAAATGGCAGGCGTTTTGATAGTTATCATTGCTCCTTTGGCTGACATCGGGCTTCACAGAGGGGGGTAGGAACATCAAATTGACAAAAAATCGAGAGGAGGAGAAGAGTGGTTCACAGCTGTAAAGGAGACAGACATAAAGGTAGAGAAAAGGGTAAGGTGAGTGCTGTGGAAGTGACATAGAGTCGGGTCATGGTAGCTTGAAGTCAACTGTCGGTTTATAGACTTTTTTTGCCATATGAATATACATTGCCCAAGGTACACCACGTGGAGATAAGTCTGTCGCACATTCCGGTTCAAACTTTGCATATGTTTGATAGACAATTTTTGATCTAAATCTTGCATTTCCCCTCGTTGCTTGACTGACTTAATAATGTCGAAATTAGTGGTATAAAAGTTAAATATCTAAATGTTTAAACAAAAACATACAAAAAATGTCTAAGATATAAGTGTGGATTTGGTTATATTCTTTGAAGTAAATTTATCAATAATCATTTTAATTATTTTTAAAGCTTGCTACCAAGTTTGCGTCCACTACAACGAAGGCGTTACAACATTTATGCGAATTTTTGAGTTATTTTTTAATGCATGGATGAGAAGTTATCGTGCAATTGTCACTAGTTCCATGCATTTTCAGAGCTTGAGGTAAAGCTTAGGGCGACTTACTTGCCACGTTCCTTTAGTACTTTTCCAACGGTTTTACTCTAAGATGAAGTTAACTTGAATCACTAATTAGTGTGAGCAACCTTCCAGTCGTCACTTCAATTCCTCCTTGCTCTTTCTCTGATGAAATTGAGTTAAGTAAAGGCTTGAAAAGTAACAGCAAATCAATTGTTCAAATCTCTAAATTTTTAGTGAAGCGATACTGACAATTTCTCCTTATCGATTTATATCGTTAATGAAATTTCCACGCATTAATTTGGGTAAGTGTTCTGAGATCAATCACTGGCAACAAATACGCAAAAAATAATGATTTCAGCTTAGCCTACATGTTTGTTCATTTGGTAAACTCATTAACGTTAGAAATTTATATTATAGGATGAAATTAATCAACTTCTAGTGGATATGCTATGCAAAATAAGAATCTATTGTTGTAAGGCAAAAAATGCTTTTAAGACCGAGACCGCCTTGAAAAAAGCAAAATTTTGTTCAGTGCGCATTTTCCCATATTTGAGCAGGTATTGATCTCACATAATTGCCTTCTTTTTTTAGACCCCGACGGAACTTAACTTGAGCAGAGTATCCCTCAAGCATTTCTTTTAAGCCCCTTTGTAACCAAATCGACACAAATGCCAATGGCAGCTAAAGCTGTATGCGATGAAATCCAATTAAAGAAAGTGCGAAATCATGGAAATGTTTCGAGACCTTGGCGATATTTATACATTTAGTCAATGGTTTTGCAAGTAGAAGTAAGAGGGAGGCAGTTGTGTTTTAGTTATTTGAGTAAAAAATCGTTAAAGATGATTTCCTCCTTGAACCTCTGGAAAAGTATCCTTAAAGTATTGCAGTTGGTATCACATTATTTATTTATTTACATCAAATGGCAGGTGTTTTGATAGTTATCATTAGCCCTTTAGTTGACTTCAGAATTCACAGAGGGAAGGAACATCAAGGTGTAAAAAATTCAAAGGGGGGGAGGAACAGAAGAGCGATTCGCAGATGTAAAAGAGATTGACAGACACAAAGGTAGAGAAAATGGTAAGGTGAGTGCTGTGAAGTGGTGGAATATGACATACAGTGAGGTGATGGTAGTTTGAAGTGAGAAGTCAACTGCCGGTTAATAGACTTTTTTGCCGTATGAGTATACGTTGCCCAGGGTGCACCATGTGGAGGTAAGTCTATCGCACACCCCGGTGCCACATTGCAAATATTATTAGTTATTAATTTATATAAAATAATTAAAATGGAAAAATTAAAACATTTAGAGAGCAAATCTTATTCTATCCAATCGTCTCCATAAAGAACAAAACTAATT